GGGGGGGGGGGGGGGGGTATGCTTTGCTCACCAGTGGGTCCCCTAGAGCCAAGAAGGTGCTCCCAGTTTGTTGGATTAATGAAAGGAAATTCCAATGACAGGAACAGTGCTCCCCAGCGAAGAAGATGGATGGCTGTGGTTCCAGGAAACTTGTCTCAGACTGTGACCTCCTGGAGGAGTGAGAAGTCTTAACTAATAAACAGGGCTCCATCTCCCAGTCCTGGATCTCTAATAAGGGAAGGGCTGTCTGTACTCTGTACTCCCCTAGTAGTCAACGCGTTTCACCCATGGAGTTTCACCTTCATCCACCCGGTTCCCCCAGCCAGAAACCTAAGGGTCTCCCTGCCTTGCACACCTCACCCCCACCCTGCACTACCACTGATCAGACTGCCCGTGACTCAGGCCTGAGCTTCTCAGGATCCCTTCATCCCCCTACTCCTCTGGCACCGACCTCAGACAGTCCTTTACCCAGCCTTGGACCCTGTCCCAAGACTTACCCTCTCCTTCCGGCCCCGTGCCTCCCACAATCACGGAATGCTGTTTGGGTTGTGGGACCGCAGCCCTTTCCTGCCGGCGAGGCTCTGTTGGACCTGGGACTGCACCCCCCAGCCCCACCCTGGCATACTGCTCTGCCTTCCTCCAGAGCATAGCTAGCACCTGTCCTCATGAGTACCACTACCACCTGCCGCTAAACCACAATCCCCACCCAGCCAGACTTTCTGTCAGCTTTTGTCCACGGACAGAACGTCTGGCACCTAGTAGGCCCTCGATTAATTTGTGTTCTCGAAGGCTCCGACTCCCTGGGAGGTCTAGCCCTCCCAGGCTCCCTCCCCTCCCCCAGGCTCCAGGGTCTCTCCCCCGGGAGGTGGGGACCTTCCAACCAGCTGCTTCTTTCCAGGTGGGACCCATTAGTTGTTTGGGCAGATGACCTGGGCGCTCCCAGGGCAGGACCGTGTTTACAGAGTGGATGCTCAATCCCAGATGAGAGTGAGTTTAGAACTAGTGACCCAGGGACTGGGTCCCTTTGGTCTGCAATCTGTCAGTTCGTGCTAAGTCACTTCAGTCGTGTCCGACTCTTTGGGACCCCATGGACTGTAGCCCATCAGGCTCTGTACATGGGATTTTCCAGGCAAGAATACTGGAGTGGGTAGCCATTTCCTTCTCCAGGGGATCTTCCCAACCCAGGGATCAAACCCACTTCTCCTGTGTCTCCTGCATTGGCAGACAGGTTCTTTACCACTAGCGCCACCTCTACCCTCTAAAAGCGCTAGGAACAGCAACCTCACCTTTCTCACGTTATGAGTCTTCTCCAACACCACAGTTCAATAGCATCAATTCTTTGGCGCTCAGCTTTCTTTATAGTCTAACTCTCACATCCATACATGACTCCTGGAAAAATTGTAGCTTTGACTAGATGGACCTTTGTTGGCAAAGTAGTGTCTCTGCTTTTTAATATGTTGTCTAGGTTGGTCATAGCTTTTCTTCCAAGGAGCAAGCGGGAACCCAGAGACTGTTGTTAAAACGAGACAGATTCAGGAGGCTTCTGGGGACTGTTTTCCCTTCTTCCACCTCTTTCGCCTGGACTTGGGCCAGGACAGATTCCCGACCAAAGAAAAGCTTCAGGTTCTAGGGCGTGACCCCCGGTGGCCCGAGGGTGAGCCTGGGGCTAGGGGCCGCACGGGGCCGGGGAGGAGGGGGGGGCATTGGTGCCTGAACCGGTGATTTCCGCGCGCTAGCTGCGGGGGCCGGGGGGGCGAGATGGCGAGGCGCTCCCCGGGGTTTCCCTCCTCTGCGGGGAACCAGACGCGCTCTCGCTTTCCGGGTCTGTGCGGCCTGGGAGAAGTTTGGGCAGAAACGGACTGGAGTCTCCGCGTTCGTCTCCGCGGCACCCCTCGTCCCCAGCCCCTGCCAGCCCCTCCGCCTGGGCCCCTACTGGAAGGCGACAGAGCCAGAGGAGAGGGGTGTGGACCCGCAGCCTCATGTGGATATGTGGGGGAAAGAAAGTGCCCCCCCGCAACACCCCCAACCCCTCCTCTGTACAGACACACCTTCTGAGCCCCAGATTTCTGGGGTCTGGGCGGCTTGGCCAGCCTCTTCCCCCATCCCCGCAGTTCTGCCCTCGCCCCGCTCCGCTGGCCGTTCCCTCCCGGGTTTCTGCACCCCTAGCGGGAAGAGGTGCTCCCCTAGGCTTCCCCGCCCAGACCGAATGCAGAGTCTCCCAGCCTTGTCAGGTCTGGCCCAGGCCAGTTCAGCCCCCGAGGCCAGGCTGAGTCAGTTTTCTGTCGGGTTAAAGAATCCGCGGCTGGGAAACCCAAAATGGGGCCCATTTGTTTAGACCTGTGCGCCAATCTGGGGACTTTGACCCCCAGCGGGCAGGTTCTCCACAATCTCCGCGTGTGGGGCGGGCCTGGGCGGAGCCGGGCCGCGGAGGTCAAGCTGGCAGTCATCTGTTCACCTCTCCCCAGCCAAAAGGCTTTCTCCTGCAGGGTCCCGGGGATCCTGATGCAGTGGGGTGTGCAGGGCGCTGCTGACGGGGGTCTAATAATAACCCCCAGTGTCGTTGTCACCCGCGGGCCCCAGGCAGATGGTGCCTGCCCTTCCAGAAGCAGAAGAGGACCAGGCCCTTTCCTGCTGCTGGGCAGGGAGCAGTCGGCCAGTTTGGCTTCCGCAGCTTGCACTCTTTCTGGTCTGCACGCCCCCTCCCACCCCCTCCCTGAGCCCTGCCTAGGGAAGGCCGCTGGCTCCCTGAGAACGCGGCCGCCTGGGGAGAACTCCAGGGAATCTTCCGCTCCCAGTGAATGCAAGAAAAGAGGCGGATATGATTTCAGAGACAGCTGTGTTGCTTGCGGATTGTGTGTGTGTGTGTGTGTGTGTCTGACCCCACATCTGCTTGTCCCAAACCCTGCTACCCAGATCCTGTCCTGTGGTCTCCCACCATAGCTCTCTCCTTTCCTCTGGAGGAGAAGTAAGCTCCCTACTGGCTGGAGACGACCTTTGGGTGTGGGGAGGGGGCTGGATGGGACAGACAGCTGCTGTCTGGCTGTCCTGGTGGGCCTGAGCCTGCCCCACCCCGCTTGGTCCCCTGGAGAGGTGACAGCCAAGCCAGAGGGACCGACTCACAGTCCCTGTCCCTCTCCTCCCCGTGTCAGACCCTGGCACTCCAAGGGGCATCCCCTCTCCCCGGCCTCACCCCTACCCTGCTCGCCCTGCTCAGGTAGCCTGGGATCCAAGTGCGGTAGGGCCGGACAGGACTGGACAGGAAGTCTGGCTCTGGGTGTTTATTTCAGGTGGCTCCCGTTCTGGTGAGTTCCCCTGGTGTCTGACCACAGGTCTCTTCTGGAAGTCCCCTTCCCCCTGAGCAGCAGTCACTGCCCACGTCAGTTAACACCATCGACCAGGCACTTTCTGCTGTCATCCCAGCGCTCGCTCGGCAGAATCCTGACTGGGGAGAAGCCCTGCGCCAGGTGTGGGGTCACGCGCTAACCGTGCCACCAAGGCCTTCGGGGCTCAGCAGCTGAGTAGCTGGGAGGGGGCCGTGCGTTGGAATCCGGAGTTTTGTCACTTACCGTGTGACCATGACAGGTGTCTGTACCTCCGAGCCTCCCTTCCCTCCTCTGCAAGTGGTGAATGAGCTGTCCCTTGAAACGTGCTTAGTACCTCGAGGGTCCCCTCGCACGTGGTGGGCCCAGTGATGCAAATCATTACGCAGACTGGCCTTGATGTTCAAATAGCGCGTCCAAGTACAGTGACGCAGGGAGGATGCAGACGAAGGATCCACCGCTGTCATGGTCAGGAAGGGCTGAGAGACACGTGCCGAGGGGGCTGCAGCTCATGCCCCTGGGGGCCAAGTGAACTGTGCCGGCTTGTGGTACGGCGTGTGTGTGTTTGTGTGCGCGGACCCACATGCGTGTGTACTCACCAGAGATTAAGTGGAGCTGGGAACAGGCCGTCAAGCTGAAGGACAGCTCGGGAGGGGGCGGGCTGTGCCGGAATCCGGGAGGTACAAGGAAGCCTGAGGGACGAGCAGGTGGCCTGGCGACGACCAGGACGTCCTGAGCAAAGTCAGCCCCAGGACTTCCTTGAGGAAGCGGGCATCCCCCACCCCACCCACTTTCTGGGGTCTTGGGAGCCACTGTGGAAGCCCACTGGTGGGTCAGTCTTTCCAGCCCTCCCCGCCAGTGAACCGGACCCTGAGTCCTTGCCCAGGTCACCTGGGCCTGGTCCACCAGGCTCATGGGGAGGTGGCAAGCCCCAGGCCCAAGGGGCGCCCCCGCCGGGCTGGGCCCCCAGCTCCAGGTGGGGAAGCTGCAGAGACCCTCCTCACTTGTGAGATGGGGTGGGGATGGAGCAGATCCTGGCGTCAAAGAGCTAGTGAAAGGACCCCATCGTCCTTTAGTGGGTATAAAGCATGTTGCCAGCGCTGGGCGCTTCGTAAGTCGCCATAAGCCCCACTTGGCACGGAGGAGGCCCCCACCGGCCAGGTGTCGCATGGGCAGAGTTGGGGAAAGGGCCCTGACACTGCCCCCAGCTGTGTCTCCCAAACCAGCCACCCCGGTTTCCCCTTCAGCGGCGCCGTCCCCATCCATTCCAGAGAGCTGGGAGAGCAGAGCAGAGACTGAGGACCCGGTGCCTTTGCGAGGCTGGAGGCTCCAGACGCTGCTGCGCGGAGGTTCGCTGCCTCTGCCGCCCTGCCTGCTCCCTCTCCCGCTTCCGCTGGCCGGCCATTGTCTTGGGACGTGCGTGAGGAAGCAGAGGAAACATTCTTCACTTTTTACACGTATCCCCACGTGCTAACTCTGGGTAATCCTGTTGGTAGGCTCCCCAGAGTCTCACACACTCCCAGGGGAGGGTTGGATCCAGAGCTATGGGGCTCCTCCAACTTGGGGGCGTTTCTCAGGAGGAAAGACCACGCGGGGATCCCTCCCCCCCCCCACCCCGCCCCCTTCGCCCCCACCAACCCAGGAGGTGGGGGAGCTTAACCCTTTCCAATCAGGGCCTCCCCCTGCAGCTCGCTGCCCTCTGGCCTCACCCCTGGGCCGGCACAGTCTTCATCTCCTGGGGTCTCGGGGTGAGGGGTGCTCAGGATGTTTCCCCCTCCCTCCCCCGCCCAAGTGCAGAAGCCCCTGTGGGCTCAGCTGCCACCTCGGCATTCTCAGAAGACCCATCGGTCACTGCTGCCCCCAGCTGGGGTCCTGGGTTCGTGCTGTGGTTTCTCGTTACAAAGTGAGAAGCCAGAACGAGTGGAAGTTGCTTGGATGAGGGGCGAGGCCTGAGCCCTGCTGCCAGGGCCATGGGCTGGCTGTTGGGTGGCTCAGGGAGGTGGTAGTGGCCACAGGGGCTGGGAACCTATCCTTTCTCGGCTCCATCAGCGCAGGAGGGCGTGTGAGTCGACTTCCTGGCTTCCTGCAGACAGGACATCCTCCCTGTAACACCCGGAGGTGTGTAACGGAGACCTGCAGAGTCCGTTAGAAGCAGGAGGACTGTTGCCTGTTAGAGGGTGGCAGGGTGACGCGGGGAGAAGGTTCTGCAGGCTTCTCGTCCCTCCCTCCTTCAGCCCCTCCTGCCCCCAACCTTAACCCTAACCCTGGGCTTCCCAGGTGTCTCAGCAGCAAAGAACCTGCCTGCCAATGCGGAAGACTCGGGTTTGATCCCCGGGACAGGAAAATCCCCTGGAGAAGGAAATGGCAACCCACTCCAGTATTCTTGCCTGGGAAACCCCATGGACAGAAAAGCCTGGCGGGCCACAGTCCGTGGGGTCCCAAAGAGTCGGACATGCCTCAGTCACTAAACAACCCAAACCCTGATCTTAGCTCCTCTGCCCCGCCCTCCTGCTCCCACTGCCGGGAGAAAGTTCTGGAAGAGAACCGCTAACAGAAGGGCCTTCGAGTTTGGATTTCGCAGGTATGGCTTCCGCAGGCTGGGCCAAAGCAGGAATAAAGGAATTGAGGCCAGACGCCCGGCTTGGGAGAGGCCCCTCGGCCTGAGAGTCCCAGGGCCCTGCCCGCAGTGCTGGACTTGCAAGAGGTCAGGGGGCCCGAGTGTGTCGTGAGGGGCTTCAGAGGTGGGGACAGGCTGTGGTTTGGAGAGACTCAGGTGGCACCACCCCAAGTCGTGATCACTTCCCGGAGGTCCTGCCGTGCCGGATGGGGGCCCGTGGTAGAGTCCATGGGTTTTCCTGTTTGGGGGGAGATCAAGGGTGAGATTTTCTAGGGAAGCTGGGAGGAGGTCTGACTGTTAGCCCGTCTCTGATCTATGCAAAAGGTTTATCCGGGTTTGGTTTTGTTTTGTTTTGATTAGGACTAACTTATAGGGAAGTGCGCTTTCTTAAGTGTACACCTCAGTACGTGTATGTGTGTGCCTGTGTGTGTGTGTGTGTGTGTTCGAGTGTGTGTATGAGACACCACCCCAAGCAACGTATATCCCTGACCGCCCAGCAGGCTCCGTCTCACCTGATTCCCTCCCGGGGGTGGCTGCATCTCGGGCCCCTGTCACCGCAGATGAGTCCCCGACTGTGCATCTCACATCAGTTAAACCGCACAGCCCCCGCTGTTTCGTCTCCCTTGTTTCTTCCTACGTCGCATCTGTAACAGTCACCCAGATCACTGGCTGCCGCTGCCCTGGCTTTTCACGACCGCACAGTATTCCGTTCTGTGGCTCCAGCACCTGTTATATGTCAGAGCTCTTGTTGGTGAGCATTTGCGGTGCTTCTGGCGCTTCACTTTTGCTGCAGTGTTAGGCTGCGGTGAACAGCTGTGGGCGATGGCGGGGACACAAGCCCTCCTTTCTGCCAGGGGAAGGAGGGGGTTGCCGGCTCGAGGGGTTTGCACGCTGCACAGTGGTCTGCAACTTGTGAGGGGGATCCTGGGCTCTAGCAGAGGGGCCTCGGGCCTGCGAGGGCGTGGCCAGGACAAAGCCTGGCATTTACAGCCACCCCTCCGTCAGGGGCACTCTGTATATCGGTGCTCTGCTAAGCGAGTCTGAAGGAAAGGCTCCGCTGCTGCAAATAGTTTGAGAAAGTCTGTGGGCACTACTTGGTGCTTGCTAGACTTGGAACGGGATACAGCCCCGCCGGTCATCTCCTGGCGCACTTCTGATTCACTGGGTCCAGGGTGGAGCTGGAGATGGTGCATTCTGCATCTCAGAAGAGGTCAGTGCTGCAGTGTTGGTGAACTCCGCTTTGAATAGCAAGGCTCTGAACCCCTGTATTTTCTTGGGATCCAAAATCACTGCAGATGGTGACTGCAACCATGAAATTAAAAGACGCTTGCTCCTTGGAAGAAAAGCTATGACCGATCTAGACAGCATATTAAAAAGCAGAGACATTACTTTGCCGACAAAGGTCCATCTAGTCAAAGCTATGGTTTTTCCACTGGTCATGTATCGATGTGAAAGTTGGACTATAAAGAAAGCTGAGCACTGAAGAATTGATGCTTTTAAACTGTGGTGTTGGAAAAGACTCCTGAGAGTCCCTTGAACAGCAAGGAGATCCAACCAGTCCATCCTAAAGGAAATCAGTCCTGAATATTCATTGGAAGGACTGATGCTGAAGCTGAAACTCCAATCCTTTGGCCACCTAATGTGAAGAACTGACTCATTGGAAAAGACCCTGATGCTGGGAAAGATTAAAGGCGGGAGGAGTAGGGGACGACAGAGGATGAGATGGTTGGATGGCATCACCAACTCAATGGACACGAGTTTGAGTAAACTCCAGGAGTTGGTGATGGACAAGGAGGCCTGGCGTGCTGCAGTCCATGGGTCACAAAGAGTCAGACACAACTGAGCGACTGAACTGACCTGAAACCCCTATCTGTCCTTGACCTTCTTCCCCATGGCCTGGGGCTGCAGGGCCTCCAGTGAGCAAACGGCTTGTGCTGGGGGCCGGCAGTGTTAGTTGCAGTCGCATCCAATTCTTCTGCTACTTCGTGGACTGTAGCCCACCAGGCTCCTCTGTCTGTGGGATTCTCCAGGCAAGAGTACTGGAGTGTGTAGCCATTTCCTCCTCCGGGGGATCTTCCCGACCCTGAGATCGAGCCCCGGTCTCCTGCAGTGCAGGCTGGTTCTTTACGGTCTGAGCCACCAGGAGGCCGACAGGGACGGCTCCTTCCCACGGTCTCCCCAGGCCAGCCTCCTGGCTCCGTCCATGGGACAAGCCTAGTGGTCCAGGCTCGGGGCCCCCGCCCCTGCCAAGAGGACTTCCACAGGGGGGTGTGTGTGTTAATGTCCACTGGGCCTTCCCAACCGCCTGAAGGAGGAGGGCTCATGCTCCACGCCGCTGAGTCGGGAGGGTGGCAGGGCAGGTTCCTGGCAGCGTCTGTGACGCATTTCTGCCAGGTGGCGGCGAGAGCCACGCTTCCTCCCAGCCGCCAATCCCACACCCAGTGGGCCGTCTCCCCTGTCCACTTCCGGGCTGTCCCCATCACTCTGGCCATTTGTCTGTGAGGCTCGGGAGCCTGTCGGTCCAGGTGACCAGCAGAGCAGCTGCCCCCTCTCCCCTGTGAGGCCCCGCCCCTTCCTGCCAAGATGACCTCAGGCCTCGAGACTGCAGGCCTCAGCCTCCAGGTGTGCGCACGCTCCGGCCTGAGACTTGTGTCCTCCTTAGACCGGAAGGATCCCGGTGTCTTCCCCCAGTCTGCCCGTCTCCCCGCCGCGACGGCCCAGGCTGGAGGGCTGGAGGTTCCCAGCTGGGAACGACTCAGGGGCACGTGTGCAGCCGGGCAAGGCGGTCGGCTCAGGAGCCTGACTTAGAGCCAAGTCCAGCCCCGGGGCCATCTGGTGGCCATCTGGCTGAGTCAGGAGACTGGAGGGCAAGGAGTGGGGGGCTCCGGGCCTCCCGGCCGACAGCAGCCCCCTTTATAGAACCGTGCGGTGCTTGGCAGGCCTGAGTCGGCATCTCCTCTCTTTCAGAATTCTGGGCTTGACTGCCACCCTTGGCATCTTGGGGCGGCTGTCCCTTTCAGGGTGTGGTGGAAGGAACCTCCGCAGGTGCATCTCCTGACATCCCCCACTGCCCCCCACACGGAGTTGGTCTCTGGTTGAGAAGGGACCCCAACTCCTAAAGTGAGGCTCAGAGGGGGCCAATACACCAGGACGTCTGCCCCAGGCCCCCGCTCAGCTTCTGAGACATCCTGCCCAAGCCCTGCCTCCTCTGGGAGGCCTCGGATGCTCTGATCATGGGGTGGTCCCTCTCCTCGTCTCCCTCGGTCACACCAAGCGTCGCCCACAGACCTCACAGTCCAGGGACAGTTCCTGCTTGTCTCTTGAGTGACTCGGAGCATCCATTAGGCAGGGTGTGGTCCTCACCTTCATCCAGGTGTGTGCGCCCCAGATGGGGAGCCAGCCTTGAGCCACGCCTCCTGCCTCCTCTCGTCTTGGGTCCTCTGCCCCCTCCCACACCTGAGCTCCATCTCCCCCCACTGCTGGTGCCCGAGGGCAGGGCGCTTTATACAGAGCTGGAGCATCAGTCCTGGGAGGAGGGCATCGGATGTACAGCTCAGCCGCGGTCTCCACACCGCAGCCCCGCTGAGCTCGGGGCCCTTCCCTGCACCCTCCGGGACCCAGCGCTGACCCCGGTCCTCTCCGTCCTCAGTCGCTGCTGCTCCTGGGGCTGGTGGCCGCCGTCGGCCTGGGCCTGAACCTCGTCCTCCTCGCGGCCTACCTGGTCTGTGCGTGCTGCTGCCGGCAGGATGACGCGGCGCAGACCAAGCGCCCCCGCTCCTGCTGCATCACCTGGACGGCCGTGGTGGCTGCGCTCATCTGCTGGTGAGTGTCTGTCTGCGCTGGGCCCGGCGGGGGCGGAGAGGTCGCAGCACAGAGGTGTGAGAAGGACACAGCAGACGAAAAGCGGTCCTAACCGTCTGGGTCTCGCCCGTGGTCAGCCCCTTGACCAGGACACCCCTTCCTCACCTCACCTCCAGCCCCACCCCATCCTAACAGACCCCAGGTGGTTCATCAGTTGTCTGCCCACGTGGTCGTGCCTGAGCTCCAGGAACCCGGGTGGGAGAGCCTGTCTCAGGGGTGCATTCTGTCCCCCTTTCTCGCCAGGCGGTGAAAATCAGATGTCCCGGGTGGTTATGGGAAGCTCCCTAGCATCCTGGGCCGCCACCCCCGGTGTGAGCCTCTCCAGCCCGGCAGGGAGCTCCCTGGGCAGTTGATGGGTGACAACTCTGCCCTCTGTGTCCCATCCCCTCCCAGCTGCCGCCCTGGGTCTGCGACCAGAGTCTGACTCCAGCCCAGATCAATTCCATCTTCTACAAGATCAATAGCTCTTAGCGCCCTCGGCCAGCTCTTCTCTGCTCCAGTAGGAGAATCTCTAACTTCGTGTCAGAGCCGAGCTACTGCCCAAGAAGTGTCCACACACACGGGCCTTGTTTTCTCAAGAGCAGTATTTTTCTTGTTTTCTTTCTTTCTTTCTTTCTTTTTTTTTAATATTCACTTATTTATTTGGCTGCACGAGGTTTTAGTTGAGGCATGCGGGGTCTAGTTCCCTGACCAGGGATCGAACCTGGGCCTCCTGCATTGGGAGCACGGAGTCTTAGCTACTGGACCACCAGGGAAGTCCCAGGAGTTGTTTTTCCTTGTTTTTGTATCTACAAAGGTTTTCCCAAAAGCCTCAGGCCAGCCTGAAACACTCTAGGAGATGCTCCTGCTGGGATTTGACCCTCTGTCTCCGGATGGGACAGGCAGACGGGGTCCAGTGAGCCTGGGCCCTGAGGACGCCCAGGGGCTGGTCCCCTGCGGCTCGGAGCACTGCCCCAGGGCCATCTTCTCTCCATTAGATCATGTTCACCGTCTGTCCTGCCTGCCGTGTGGGGCTGCAGGGTGGAGGGATCTGGGGTGAGTGCCATGGAGGTCAGCAGTTACGGCGGCTGGAGTCGAGCTCAGATCAGAGCTGAGTTGAGGGAGGGAGGCAGGGAAGGGAGTCAACGAAAGCAGGAGGAGAGATCCAGAGTGAGGCTGGGGGGATGAGGAGGGAGCGGTCTCGCGGAGCTCTGACGGGCTGGTGCCGTTAAGGAGTTCAAAGCTGGGTGACTAGTTCTGGGTGGATGCAGAGGGTATTGATTTACACGTTGGTTCACCAAAATGTAGCTGAAACGCGCGCGTGCACGCGTGCGCCCAACCCACGAAGCAGATGGGAACCTTGTTTCAAAATGCACGTTTCAGACCACCCTGATAACAGTGGGTGCAGCGTGGGCCGCTCCCCGAACCTGCACTTGTAACACGTCTTCCAGGTGATGTGTACTGCGGTCCATCGATGATTTCCCAAGACACGATGAATGAGCAGTCAAGGGCGCCCTGGAAGGGGGAGTCTGTAACAGCCTCCCAGGGGATTCCATAGCAGGTCCTGTCCCTTTCAAAGAAAAAAGATAAGTGTAAACACATGTAGCTTCACCCCCACCCCCAAAACCAGTGTTTGGGATGAAAGCTCGAGGAGGCTGTTCGATGACTCTTCGGAGGACCCCCAGTGGTGTGAGTCAGATAAAATACGATCAATGACAGAAGCAAGATTCGAGATGATTTGCTCGGGCTGGAATGTTGGACCAAAACCAACCAGATGAAATTTCACGGAGATGGATTTAGAGTCCTGCTTTTGGTTAAAACAGAACAAAAGTCAGTACAGCACTAGAGGAAGGAGGAGCACCTGGGCTTCGCGCGGTCCTTGGGGCGAAACCAGAGGTGTTTGTGGACCACAGGGTCAGTGGTGGGGAGGGAGGACCCCATGGCATTAGCCCCAAGCTCGGAGCTGGAGGGACCGCCTGGGCTTGGGAGCGTCACTCAGAGCACTGACCGACCCAAGAGAGTGGAACCAGATATAGACCAGGGTCTGGAGGACATGCTTGACTGGAAGCGTGATAAGGAGGGTGATACGGAGCCCCATTCAGATGTCCAGCAGGTCATCTTGCAGAATTGGAAGCTTGTTCCAGGCTGGCCCTGAGGACGGCCAGAAACCAGTGGGTATGTGGTTTAAGGAGGTAGGCTTCAGCTCAACGTAAGAAGGGACTTTATGGACTTCCCTGGTATTCCAGTGGTGAAGAATCCGCCCGCCATGCCAGGGACATGGGTTTGATCCCTGGTTCAGGGAGATCCCACCTGCTGCAGGGAAGCTAAGCCTGTGTGCCACGGGAAAGACAGGCCCACACGTCACAATAGAAAGAAGGACTTTCTGGAAGCCAGAACTTTTCAGTAGGATGGGCGGTGTCGGGAGGGTGGGGGAAGGATAGAGAACAGAGGGAAGTCCCCAACACTGCGAGGATTTCACGAGACTTCAGAGCTCCCCAAGCCCACATGTGTCGAGTGTCCCCTGGGGAGCCTGAACGATACGGGTCCCTGGGCCCCTCCCTGACTCACTGCCAGCATCAGAATCCCTGGGGCCCAGCCAGCAAAATCTTCCACCCTTCACAGCCCCGGGACTAGAGAATAGGAATGTTTTCCTGTGGGCTAAACAAAACGTGCTGTAGAACTAGTTGGTCAGGCCAGGGCCTGCTGGCCCAGAGCCATCCCCTCATTGCCTGGCCAACACACTTGCGAGAACTTTAGGCCACCCCCTCCCCCCTTACCGCCAGGAAAGATTTCCTCAGCTGAAGTCAAACACCGGCTCTAATGGATGCTTAGAGCCTCTTGCATCATAATTTCTAAGATTTAATGATGCTGGGAAAGACTGAGGTCAGGAGGAGAAGAGGGTGGCAGAGGATGAGATGGGTGGATGGCATCAATGGACATGAACCTGAGCAAACCGTGGGAGATAGTGAAGGACGGGGAAGCCTGGCGTGCTGCAGTCCGAGGGGTCGCAAAAAGTCAGACATGACTTGGCGACTGAGCAACAACAATAGTAGAAGCAACCAGGATGCCCTTCGGGAGGTGAACGGCTAAATTGTTTTTATTCAAACAATGGGATCTTATTCAGCTCTCAAAGAAAAATGAGCTATCAAGCCACGAAAGGACATGGAGGAATCTTAAATGCACATGAAAAGGCTACGTACTGTATGATTCCAACCATATGACGTTTTGGAAAAGGCAAAACTATGGAAACAGTGAACACATGAATGTTGCCAGGGTTTACGAAGCGGGGAGGGGTGGCAAGGTAGAGCACAAAGGATTTTAAGGGCCGTGGAAGTGCATGTGATACTACAATGGCAGACACATGCCCTTATAGTTTAAGAGCGACCCTACCGTAAACTGTGGACTTTGGGTGATAATGGTGTGTCCTCATAGGTTCATCAGTTGTAACAATCGTTCCATTCTGGTGGGGGCTGTGGATGGTGGGAGAGTCTGTGTGAGTGAGGGGCTAGACCACGGGAACTTCCATATACTTTCCATTCAAGTTCATCGTGCAGTTAAAATGGCACTCAAAAATAGTGTGCTGAAAAAAACCGTCTCCTCCAGGTGTCGCCTCTAACTTTGGGGTCTTGCCCACAGCGCTGCGGTGGGCACGGGTTTCTATGGAAACAGCGAGGCCAACGACGGGGTGTACCAGCTGCTCTACGCCCTGGACAACGCCAACCACACCTTCTCCGGGATCGATGTGCTGGTAAGGTCCCAGGCAGCCAGGCGCAGGCCGCGAGGTCAGCCTGGTCCCCACAGACGCCCCGGTCAGATCCCGGCCCGCTCGGCTCCAAGGGGGTTGGTCCCGCAAGGAGCAAACAGGCCATGTCTGCTCCCCAGGCAGGGGTGGGAGTATAGACCCAAGGAGAAAGGTGGATGGGGCCTGGGGTGGGGGAGGGTGGGACGGCCGTGCGCTCGAATCCTACCCACCTTTAGGAGCACTGTGCCCAAGAGGTTCTTGAATGTGGAAGATCAGCCCCCAACCCCCCCACCGACACACAGTTTTTTTATTGGTTTATTTGCTTTTGGCTGCACTGGGTTTTTGCTGCTGCACAGGCTTTCTTCCAGCTGCAGTGAGTGGGTTGCTCTCTTGCGCTGTCTTCTCTTGTCGTAGAGCACAGACTCCAGGGCCCACGGGCTTCCGTGGCTGCAGCTCCCGGGCCCCGGAGGGCCAGCTCGATAGTTGTGACGCTCCCGCTTAGCTGCTCTGCAGGACGTGGGATCTTCCCGACCCAGGGATCAAACCTGCGTCCCCTGCGTTGTCGGCAGGCAGCTCCTTTCCCACTGAGCCACCAGGGAAGCCCCTCCCAGTGTTTTCTGCGTTCACTCTCAGCGCTGAGTACAGAGCGTCATGGGTCGGGTCTAGGCGATGTCAAGGGGAAAACAGAATCAAGTGGAGAGCCCCGAAGCCAGCGCGGTGTGCTTCGGGCCCTGGTTTCCAGGGATTTTTAGCACAAGGGAGGTCCACTTGCTGAGCCTCGAGAGCGGGGAGACAGGGTCTTCCGAAAACACAGCCCTTGCCCCTACCTGCTCCTCACGTTCACGCACCAGGTCTTTCCAGTTGATTTCCCAGCAGCCCCGGGGCAGCCCCAGTGTCCCGGGAGCCAGGCTCCAGGGCAGTTTTCAGAAACGCCAGCTGCTGGACGTCCACCCTGGGCCAGGTCCCCAGCAGAGGGGTGACCTCAGCCAACGGCCGATTGTGTCCGGCGGCCTCAGCCACACAATCCGGCCCCGACCAGAGCATGTGGACTTCATCCCGGTGCTGCTGGAAGAGGATTCTGGAGGAGGACTCACCCCATCGCACCCCCCCTCCCTTAAGCTCCTCTAAGGCCTTAATCCCCCAGCTCTCCGGGGACCAGCTCCCTTAAAGAGACAGCTGTGCTGGTCTTCGGGTGGGGTGGCCAGGTGCTGGCTGCCCTGGCTCTGGCCTCAGATAAAGTCCTGGGAAGCCAAGGGTCACAGGCCAGACCAGGGGCCCCGCTCTCCTGCTGAGTTCATCCGTCCACCCTTTGTGTCTGCTGGGGCCCATCCCTGGGGACCAGGAGCTAGCTGTCTGGACCCTGGCTGGGGCAGCTGTGACAGAGCAAGAGTGCAGCGGTGGGTGGAGAAGCTGGGGGACCAACACAGGGGGCCCTAGGCACGCCCTGGCCTGGGGCGGGGCTCACTCCCTGGGGACCCCTACCCTCACTTCTGCCCTGATGTGGAAGGGGCCCCACCCTCCAGCCCCAGAGCCCCTGGGGGAAGAACTCACTCTCCAAAGGAGAATCTCTGGGGAAGCCCCAGAGCCATGCCCTTCACTGGCTGACCTGTGACCATTGTCAGAATGACCTGTGGCTCCCCCAGGGACCGAGGAAGAAAGTCTCCGAGCCATCCTGATGGGAAAACAAATGCTTCATGTCTTTATCACCCAGAAATGAGCTGGGACTGGGACCCCCAGGCTGGGCCCCTCGCCCCATGCTGAGAGTGCCCCAGGGCCAGGGGCACTGCCTGGACAGGCAGGCCCTGTGCTGGGCCTCCAGGGCTGGTTTTGACCTTAGGGTGGGCTCCCAGGACCCCTAGTCACAAGGGCTCCCAGGAGGCAGCAGATCTCAGAGGGCCCCCAGATCTGAGGGGTGAAGGCCAAATATCGGATGAGTGATGGCCAATGAGATGATGCCTGTGAAAGTGCCTGGTAATCTACAAAGAACTCTCCAAATGTTGGTGGGGGAGCTATGCTAATGGTGCCATTATTATAATTACTATAATAATACATATTACTTACTATTATTACCACAGAAGAGTGGAAGCTTTGACTGGGGGCGGGGGCGGGGAACTCAGGAGACAGGTCAGGCAACTCAGACCTGGGCCAGAGCAAGGTGGGCCCTCCCAGGCTCCCCTTCCTGGACCAGGAGGCCAGGTGTGCGCCCTCCCGGCCTGGGGGAGCCCTGAGCCACGCTGGCAGCAGGGTCCTGAGGCAGCTGCACACACTGATTTGGGGGGTCAGAAGGGGAGTGCCATGGGTGGATCCTTTCCCTGGATCCAGTGACCCCACCTGGACCTCACTCGGCGCCTCTAATCCGTCGGTGCTCAGTCGCTTCAGTCATGCCCAACTCTGTGACTCTCTGGACTGCAGCCCACCAGGCTCCTCTGTCCACGGGAGTCTCCAGGCAAGAACACTGGAGTGGGCTGCCATGCCCTCCTCCAGGGGATCTTCCTGACCCAGGGATGGAACCCTCACCTCCCGTGAATCCTGCGTAGCACTTCTCTACCACTGAGACTGAGCCGTCAGGGAAGCCCATTGGAGTCTTGGCTTGAACCACGGCCTGGGACGCCACACCTCCGGGAGCTCGGCTGGCTCGGGTTTGAGCTGGCAGCCGGCCTGTGGGCAGGCCTTTGGGTGAAGGAACGGGCACAGAGAGCTGGTGTGGCTGCCCCAAGGTGGGGAGTTGGTACCTTTCAGAACTCAGTACTAGAACCCAGGGGTCTGGTCTCAGCCCTTCCCCTCCAGGCTCTGAGATGTGGGGCCTGCCCCCAGCCTGCCTAGGCTCCACCCCTTCACCTCCTGCCTTGTCTAGAAAACCCCATTCCCTCCCTCTCTGAGAAGGAGCTTCCTCCCAGTCAGAGATTTTCAAACTTGAGCTTGCATCAGAATCCCCTGGAGGGCTTGACAGACACAGATGGCGGCCCCTCCCCCCTCCCCAGACTCTCCGCTGAGAATCTGCGTTGAGAATTTGTTCCCAGCTGATGATGCGAGGCCGCTGGTCCAGGGGCCACAGCTGGAGAACGCCTGCTCCATCCTTCGGGGTAACAGCTTCCTCCACCTGCTAGCTTGCCCCTGACTTCCCCCAAACTTGGGGAGCTGAGCCAGCCCTCTTGATCCGAAGAGTTTCTCTTCCCCATGGGAGAGCCTGTTCCATCTCTGAGTGTGCCCCCCTCCCTGTCTCCCTTCAGGGAGCTCTGTGCGGAGCCTCTAAGGGCTGGGGGCCGAATGGGGAAGGGGCAGGTATAAGTGGGTCAGTGCTCTAATTTTAATTTTTTTCTGTTTTGTTTGGTTTCCTATGGGAAGACATCAGGAGGAAAAGAAGGCCTGGCAGATGTTTGCTGGCTTGTGTGTGTGTATGCGCTGCTTTTTTTTATTTTTTCCAAGGAGGAATTTAAGAAATAGAGAAGTGAAACATTTTAGAGCTATGGAAGGGGATAGAAGTGATCTTATAGGAAAAGTTTGCAGAGCATTTTTAACAGCCTTGTGGTCTAAAGTGAGTTAGGCTTCATATAGGAATACGGAAACCACACAGAGCGGGTTTGCTGCCAGCGTTGACGTTTATGAAGACTGCCTTTGGATCAGTGGCTGCAAAGCACTCATCCGGTGACCTTACTAAATTGAAGAGGAGCGTTTGTCCGGGTGAGGGTTAGTTGTTGAATTTACCAGCGTGTGTGCCCAGCGTCTCTGCACTTTGGTATCTCTTCGTCGTTAACCAGTTTGTAAGAACCAGGAACAAACCAGAAAAGGGAACAAGCCGCTGACACTGGAAAAAATAAAATGCAACATAGGGGGCCATTCTCTTTTGTGGAGCCAGGAACTCACAGCACAGCACAGATGTGAAAGGCTGTGGAGTTGCTATCAAGCCCCTCTAACTCGCAGAAATAGCATTTGCTGCCAGGAGTGGGGTCTAATGATCTCTCCGTGGAGCTCTCACCCTGGGAAGTTTCTAAACATTCTTCGGGGTCTTTGTGTTTGGTTTTGGTTTTTGTTTTGTTTGTTTGTTTTTGGCCACACCGCAAAGCTTGCAGGATCTTAGTTCCCCAACCAGGGATTGAGCCCATGCCCTTAGCAGTGAAAGTGCAGAGCCCCGACCACGGGACCTCCAGGGAATTCCCGCTCTGGGTCATTTTTCTCTTCTCTGCAGACCTGGGGAGCTGAAGCCTGCCTGAACGATTAGCACATGCTCCCCGATTCCAGCCAGTTGTGTCTGTTGGTGAAACGTGACTGTTTCAAAGCAACCAAGCCCTTACTCCCCTCTTGCCGGCACCCAGGCTCAGAGCAGGACTGGGGGGACTGTGCTTGGAATTCTTGGGCTGGGTCTCAGGGCCCTGCCAGGACCCTACATCTGGGCAGTTGAGAAGCATCTTTCCAATCCTTATGGTCCTTGTTTGCAAGCCCAGGACAGTCACCACCGTTGACCTCCTCTCTACTTGTGAGCAGAGAGATGCTTCCTTCAAGGTCTGCTCAACTCCACGCAGGGCAGGCGTGGGGGCCCAGGAGGGTGGTGAGCACAGAGAAGGCACCGGTTTCCTCCTCCCGTCACGTGCATGTCCGGACAGCATCGGATCTGCCTGTATCATTTCAAAGTCCCATTGTTCTGAACTCGGGTTCAGAACGCTGTGAGCCGTCGCTCGCTCCGCAACAAAGCCTTTCTCTTGTGAGATGCTGAGAAAGCCTTTGTGGGAACCAAAGGTCAGGTAGCAGCAGAGAGATTCTTTGGTTTAAACATTTTATTCCTCACCCTCAACAAGAACTCACCATCCAAAGTATTTAAACTTGGAAGAGAATCTTCAAGGAAGAAAAATGGCTTCTCTTGTTTGTTTTCCCCATCTGGCCCTGTCTTCCTAGGAAGGCACTGGGTCTTGGAGGCCGGGTCCTGGTTAGGACTAGATGGGGCCTGTCCCCCGGATGGAGGGACCCTCAGGCTGGGTGGGTAGGGGGAGGCTCTGCCATCCATTCTCCACCCGGACCATAGCCTCATGACTTCAGAGCTGGAGGCGCCCGTGGAGCACTCACTCAAGGCCAAGTTCTTCCCCTCCAGTTTGAATCAGACGGTGTACCCCCTCCGGCTTCCTCCCCCACCAAGGTCAGACTCACAAGCCCCCCCCTCCGCAGGTGTCAGGAACCACCCAGAAGATGCAGGTGGACCTGGAGCAGCACCTCGCCCGGCTGGGTGAGATCTTCGCCGCCCGGGGCGATTACCTCCAGACGCTGAAGTTCTTGCATCAGACGGCAGGCAGCATCATTGTCCAGATGGCAGGGGTGCCCGCGTGGACGGGGGTCACTGAGCAGCTGACTGAACTGGCCAACCAGACAAGCTACGTGGAGTACTACAGGTGAGGGCTCCCGGGAGAGCCAAGTTCTTGGTCAGGGGGAGGGGGCCACCCTAGCTTCCTTCAGCAGAGCCAGCATCTTGGGCTCCGGCAGGGAAGTGCCACCAGAAGGTCTCACTAAGCCACTGTCTGAAATCAGAGGGTACGAGAGCTCGTGGGGGCCGAGTGGAGGCAGCGAGTGCAAGCAGCTTGTACACGCAGGCACTGAGCCCCCCGGAGGGGCAGTGAGGAGCCAAGATCTCAGGCTGCACCTGGCCGCCCACCCAGCACACCGCGGGGGGCTCTTCTGAGACCAGCATCCTCAGGGCTGAGTGAAGTCCAGGCGGTTTACGCGTTCTTCTCCTTCTCGGATTGAGGGGCCAGGGCTCCTTGCACCTGCAGACCCAGCCCCAGAGGAGCAAGGGGTTGGGGAGATGGCAGCCCCTTTGGCAGCACAGAGCCTCCCCTGGTGGCAACTGCTTAGCAAGCTCAGAGATGCCCCCAGCCTCAGAGATGCCCAAAACCGGAGTGATAGGGGCTGCAGGGCACCACCCCACCTTTGCCATAATCAGGTATGCAGACTGCGTCCTTGGACCCCTGGGGTTTCGTTTATGTCTCCCCTGCCTCCCCATCACCCAAACCCCATCCTAGGTGATGGCGGTGGGCACAGGCCATCTGACCAGGGATCGGCTGCCCTCCGTTTACGCGGAGGGTCTGGTGAGGGTCAGGTGAAGGTCACTCCGGGAACAACCATGAAAGGAGGCGGCGGTCCAGATTTGGGGGGCTCCCAGCAGAAGGGTGACGTGCACTCACGGCTTACACATCCTTGTACACTCAGGGCAGAGCGCCTGGCTCAGTGGGGGCACGGGGGATGCAGGAGCCCCGGGAGCAAGCATTCATCCTTTGGATGCCCTTCGCCCTCCCCAGTTTCTTGCCTCTGCTTCAAGCCACCGGCGAAGGTCACAGTCTCCACCACAACGTTGCACAATTTACTCTGGACTCATTTCCGCTTTATGAGAAAGCCCCACTCCAGGCTGAGCTAATACTGACCTCTAGAAGACGCCCCTGGTGGCCTCTGGACCTCCCCATCCAGGGCTCTCCGTTCCCTGGGGTGAGAGATGGACAGGCCCCGAGGACCGCAGAGGATGCTCAGGAGGCCCCCAGTTCTGGACGGTACTCTGCGTTCCTCCCCTGCCCGCCCATCCAGCCCCCGCCCTCCCAGACATGTCACACAGATTTTTCTTTTCTTGTTTTTTTTTTTTTTTGCCCACATGTCCCAAGTAACCAAAAGGAAACTGCCGACTCTAGGAACTAGCTGTGACCTGTGACCCAAAACTGCCCTCTGATTAGTCCCGTGACATGAGGGACAGTCACTGTCTCAGCCTCCGAAACCTTTTTTGTCACGGGAAGCAGTGTCCGCTTCGACCCTGCCGCTCTCCCTAAGTGGACCTCGCCTCGGACCGTGTCTGAGCACCACACTGAGTGTGTGCTGTCGTGCCCGGCTCATCGCCACCCCATGGCCCGTAGCCCGCCAGGCTCCCCGCTCCATGGAGTTTTGCTCAGGCAGGAATCCTGGAGTGGGGTGCCATTTCCTTCTCCAGGGAACCTTCCCGACCCAGAGATCGAACCCGGGTCTCCCGCTTGGCAGGCAGATTCTTTACTGAGCCACCAGAGCTGCCCTGAAAGGAACCAGGCTCCCTCGGGAAAGTGTCTGATTCCAGGTTTGGGTAGGGACCACACCCGATGAGTCTGGACCAAACTCAGAAAGACAAACAAGTCATCCAGAAGGGGCCCACGTGGGCTCTTGCATCTCCTGCATTGGTAGGTAGATTCTGCACCACTGAGGCACCTGGGAAGCCGTGTATACCGAAGGACTTAATGTGGGCATTTTGAGAATGACCTTGGTGAAATAAGTCAGAATGTAAACATCAAAAGGGCTTATTTTTTAGATGATTTTATAAAAACTGGGGGTAAGGGTGGTGACCACCACACGCATCTATTTCAGTGAGGGTGATGGAGAGGGTCTCCTGGAACCCCATCCCCAAATTCCTCCCCTTGTCCAAGTCTGCTTCAAGGTGGACACCTGTGGCTCCGGAACGCTGCTGACGTTCTGTCCCTTCCCCTCATCTGCCGTTTGTTCCCTGCTCTCGAATGAGCCGCCCTGGCACAAAAGCCTCGTTTTAGTCTTCATGAGCTCACCAGCCCCAGGGGCCGGGTCTCCTTGGGACCAGCCTCCCCACCTTTGCTTTCCGGATGGTGTTGGAGCCCAGCCACCCAGCTGAGCAAGTTCTTCTTAGTACTTTTACACAAGGCCCGTCTACATATTAGAGGCAATTAAAAGCCCAGAGACTGCTCTCCAGAGGCTTCCAAAGGGCGTTAAGGAGACGTGCCGGATGTGGGAGGAGCCGGGGCCGCGGTTGTGTGGCTCCTGGGAGAGCCGAGTTCTTGGTTAGATACTCATCCCCAGGTCATCAGCCAGCTCCTTTGGGAAAGCGCATCTGCCTCTCAGAGCTGTTTCCAGGAAACTTTTATAAGGCGAGGAGGCAGGGATGCAGAGAGAGCAGGCTGAAACACAATCTTAGAGCTTCATGATCGTGGAGATTCGACTCGGTCCTACCTCAATTTCCTGCCAATGTGCCGAGTAGGGGAGAGAAGGGGTAACAAGAAACCTTTGGGTGTGAAATGGGAAACCAGGATTTTGAGGGGCTCCAGGCAGCTGGCCCTGTCTGTTGCAGGAAAGCTCAGAGCGTCTGGAATTCCTGGGCCAGCCTCTTTTCCCCCTGGCCTTGGTTTTCCAATCTGTAGAATGGGATTCCAGTGCTCGATGTTCCCAGGTTCTTTTTATCTATTTAATTTTTGGCTACACTGGGTCTTCCTTGCTGGGCTTGGACTTTCTCCCGTTGTGAAGAATGGGAGCTGCTGTTCATTGGAACGCGCCATCGTTAAAGATGCAGGCCTCTTAGGAGCTTTCTTAGGTCCGTGGCTGTGATCCATCATAGCTATGATCCGTGGCATAGATCCGTCAGATCTCGCCTGGTCTGACACTGTGTGTGCCTTCTAGGAGCAGCGGGAACCAGGGTCCAAATACATGCCTCCCAGGAGGCTGCCAAGAGATGGTTTAGACCTGCTCTGTCCGTGGCGTGGCCACTGGTCACGTGTGGCTGTTGGAACAAAGGCTCTGAGGGACTTCCCTGGCTTCCAGTGGTTCGGACTCTGCACTTTTGCTGCAGGGGGTGCGGGTTCAATCCCTGGTTGAGGAAGACCCCGCAGGGCCCACAGCCAAAAAAAACAGTAACTGAAAGGGTGGGCTGTACACCAGAAACTATCACATTATTATAAATCAGCTATACTCCAATATAAAGTAAAAATTAAATTTAAAAACGAAACAAGATAGGAGATATATATTATACAACATGAGGAGTATAGCCAATATTTTTATAGTAACTATAGATGGAGTATAACCTTTAAAAATTGTGAGTCACTTATTACACACCTGTAACTTACATAACATTGTATAGTAACTAAAGGAGAAGTTCATTTCTTCGGTTGTATCAGCCACGTTTCACGTTCTCAGCCACGCGTAGGCAGCGGCAGAGAGTGGTAAGTGCATAGGTGGTCCGTGTCCGTCGCTGCAGAAAGTTCTAGGAGACAGTGCTGGTTCAGACACTCAGCCGGGGGAGGGAGGGTACTCCTTTGTCCAGGCACAGGCCGGGGTGCAGCCCCCGGAACCCCACGGGCTGTCCGCCGAGCACACTGGTTCTTGCTCTCCGGGGCAGGGCCGGCCCTGGTCTCAGCAGCCTAGCCGCCGGCTGTGGCAGCTTGTCCCACGAACGGTCCCGCGGGCCCCGGGCGGCGGTTCTCCCCTGACCGCCCCTCCCGCTCCGCCCAGGTGGCTGTCCTACCTCCTCCTCTTCACCCTGGACCTGGTCCTCTGCCTCCTCGCCTGCCTGGGTCTGGCCAAGCGCTCCAGGTGCCTCCTGGCCTCGTGAGTAGCCTGCCTCTGGGTCTGGGGGAAGAGCCGGCCAAGCGTGGGGAGTGACAGTGCTGCCGTCCAGAGGGATGGGGGCCTGGGGGGCCGGGGCACATGGGCGGCAGGGGCAGCCTGACGCTGCCTCCCTCCCCCTCCTCAGCACCCGGCCCGGGGGGAGGTGGGGGGGGGGCAGCCACCATCCTGCCTCAGGGACACCAAGTCAGGGGCGGGCTTTCCCCCTTCCCCGCCCCTGCCTCCTGGGCCTGACTGTCCAGCGGCTGAGCCGTTAGAGCCGTTCGCCTCGCGCCCCTGCTGCTGTCTTGTCCCTCGGGGACCTGTGCCCCGGGCATCAGTCCACATCCCTCTGCCAGCGGTCCAGGGCTCAGGCTGGGGCTGCCCTCGGGGCCACCGAGGGAGTCTGGAGGACCAGGGGGGACAAGGTCGTAGCCGAGAGGAAGGCCCCGAAGGCTGGGGGCAGGCAGCCACCATGGGGCCCCCGCCTGCCGGGACCCCAGTGGCGGCTGCTTCTCCTCTAGGATGCTCTGCTGCGGGGTGCTGGCCCTGCTCCTCAGCTGGACCTCCCTGGCTGCTGACGCTGCCGTGGCCGTGGTGAGTTGGGGGCCATGGGGGTGCCAGGTGGTCCGCTCAGGTGGTCTTCGGTCTGGTGGTGCGTTAATGTGTGCCGCCCAGCGTCCCCAGGGCAGGGCCAGCTTCTGGTCTCAGTCCCTAACCAAGAATCCAAGAGTCTTGGAACTAAAGGGGCTCAGCTCATCCCTTTTGATGGGGACACAGGCCCCGGGAAAGGAAGAGGCTTGCCCCGGGGTCACGAGGCATTTGGGGGCAGAGCCAAGATAAGAGGCCTGAAGCCTGATCCTTTTCCCACCTGCCATGGCCTGTGCGGCCAGGCGCGGGGGACCAGGGGCCTTCTCTGGTGTGAAGAGCTGAGCCCAGGTGGTGGGGCTGGGCAGGGCTGGAAGCGCCCTCGGGCTTCAGCACGCACTCCCGGGACTTCCTCCCCAGCATCAGGAAAGTGGAAGGTGGCCTTTCGATTGCCTCCTGCCCATTGCCCTTGGACTCACACACACACACACACACTGTCAGAATCACAGTGGTGTGTGCTTCCAGTTGTGGTACCTGGAAATATTAAAAAAACAACAAGAAACACACACACACAAGGTGTCAGGAGTGTGGGGGGACACTCCCTGGGCAGATAACGCTTGGTCTTTAGACCAGACGCTCCAGGGGAGCTGTGTGCGTGGCGTTCACTCATTCCACGTTAGGCTGCATGGCTCTCGGGGGTGTGGGTGCCTGGAGCTGCAGGAACCCAAAGAGAGGGACGTTTGCTCTTACATTTCAGCTCTCAAACGAGGGCAGATCATCACAGCCCCAAGTGAATAAACACAGTGGTGGTACAGGCTGCGTGTCTGTGTGTGTGAGTGTTTGTGACAGAGGGGCAGATTTACGGGGATTTCAGAGAACCCCTTAGCTGACTTAAGGGCCACAGAGCAAACCTGTGACCTGCATCCATTCTGCCCTTTTCCGGGAGAAAAAAAAAGCGGGGTCTCACACAGGAACCCCCTACCCAAACGCGTGCCTGGCCCAGTGACGGGGGCCGCCTGGTGACCCTGCCTTGGCCAGTGGGCCTCCACGATGCCCCCAGAATGCCTGGACCCTGGTGCTTGTCTGAGTAGCTCTGGGCAGAGCTTGTCCGGATGGGAGGAGGTGGGCCTCTCCTGCTTTGTCCCACCTCCCCACATCACACAGTGTCCGCTTTGGACCACAGAGGGAGCCCCTGGCAGGCAGGAGCCCACGTCCCCAGGGCTGGGCCCCCCCAGATACAGGGAAGAGCAGAGTAGGAGGGCCCGGGTGAAAGTCGCTCAGTCGTGTCGACTTTCTGCAGCCCCGTGGACTGTAGCCCGCCAGGCTCCTCTGTCCATGGGATTCTCCAGGGGCTCTTCCCAGCCCAGGGGTCGAACCCAGGTCTCACGCATGGCAGGCAGATTCTTTACCATCTGAGCCACCAGGAGAGCCCAGGTCACGGTCAAACGCATCCTGACGTCATCTGGAGAGGCGGGCTGAACAGCGTCCAGGGAGGGTGGCTGCTGGCCGAGGCCACACGCACAGCCGCCTGGCAGAGAGCCGCTTCTCTGGGGACAGGAGTGGGCACAGGGAAGCTTGCGCATGGCGGGCCCTCCCCCGGGCGCCTCCAGCTGGCCACCGCAGGCGCCCCTTCGGGAGACGGCTCCTTCCCAGCAGGGCCTCCTCCCTCTCACCAGGCTTCTGTGTTCACGGCGACCAGAGGCAACTCCAGCTCCCAGCCGAGGGCCCCCCGGGCGGCCAGGGAGCTGCAGAGAAAGGCCATCTCCCTAATTCGATTAATCAGGCCCTTGTGTGAGAGAGGGCGAGGGTGAGGCAGTGAATGGGCCTTTGATGGGGCTGCGGCTCCTGCTGCATTTTAATAGGAAGTGGGGCAGAAGGAGCCAGGCCCTCCGAGGTTGTTGTGGGGAGCTTTTGTGCGGCCACTGCCCCTGCCCGCCCAGCCTGTTTTTCTGGGGCTGCTCTTGTTTTTGTGTTTGAGAGCTGTGGGGCAGAGCGCCAACACTGTGGCCTCGCCCCCTCCCTCCCCTGTCCACCCAGAAAGGGTCTCCAGGAAGGAGCACTGCCCCCCAAGAACGTGCCAGAGGACTTCCCTGGCGGTCCAGTGGCTGAGACTCCGAGCTCCCAGTGCAGGGGACCTGGGTTCAATCCCTGGTCAGGGAACTAGAACCCACACACCGCAACTTCGAGTTCCCGAGCCCCAACTAAAGATGCCGCGAGCCGCACCTAAGACCCTGCTCAATCAAATGAATACTTTTTTTTTTTTTTTTTAAATGAATACTTTTTAAAAAGAACATGATGAGAAGGCAGATGGGAGCCGGGGAACTGAGCCCTGCCTGCTCGACCACCCCGCTGCACAGTCCGGAGTGTGAGGCAGGGGTGAGGGGCAGAGAGGAGAGACAGCGCCCAAGGAGAAGGAGCGGGGAGAAGTGGCCTCTGGGAGAGGATGGAGGAGAGGGTCACCCAGGTGCTCTGGCCAGTGAGCATTCCCGCTCCCCAGCAGGGGACCCCGGGAACGTTCCTGAAGTTCCCCAGGCCTCATTTCCTCCTGTGTAGGATGGGCAGAAGAGCAGCACTTCCCTCGAAGGCTTGTTGATGGGGGCGAGATGGGTGGGTGGACCCCGGGAGGCGTGTGGTCAGTGTCCATCGGTTTGTTGTTCAGTCGCTCAGTCGTGTCTGACTCTTTGCGGCCCCATGGACTGCCTGCAGCACGCCAGGCCTCCCTGTCCCTCACCATCTCCCAGAGTTTGCCCAAGTTCACGTCCACTGAGTCGGTGATGCCAGCCAACCGTCCCCCCCTCTGCTGCCCTCTTCTTTTGCCTTCAACCTTTCCCACTGGCCCGTTCGTCTCCTGCACGTTTATTCCCTTTCTAGGAGGGTCACTGGGGCAGGCTTCATAGATGGACACCCCTCCCCCAGAGTGGGGGCGGACTTGGTAATAGCAAGACAAAGAATAAAATAGAGACAGGCGAACAAGGCCGTGGTGCAGATAACTCTCCGAAATGCATCCCATGGCATCCCCTTGTCCCTCCCAGGAGAGGCGTTCAGAAATCAAAGGTAGCAGCGCAGAGTGCCTGCTGTCTGTCTGCCCATCACTCTTCTGAGTCCGCTGCGTGGATTGATTCATTAGGAGAAGAGCATATCTCTCCTGTGTGATTGATGAAGACGCTGAGACGCAGGCTAAGCCCTTGTCTCTAAAGTTAAGAGAGTCAGGCCGGGGCAAAGCCAGGACCCAGCTCAGGGAAGCTGGCCGCTGACGGTTCTTGCCCAGCCAGGTCTGAGCCGCGGGGTCCCCGTGCCTGAGCTCCTGGGAGTGTGTGACTCTCCTCCACCCCTCCCACTTCTCTCCGGCTCAGGGCGCCAGTGACTTCTGCGCGGCTCCAGACACCTTCATCCTGAACGTCACAGAGGGCCAAGTCCGCCCCGGTAAGATCTCGGCTGCTGTTGTAGGGCCATCTGGGGTGCTGGGTCTAGGCCCGCGGTCAGCCAGACTGCGCCCCCGAGGAAAACAAAGCGTCCGTCTCTCAGTCGTGTCCGACTCTTTGGGACCCCGTGGCCTGTAGCCCTCCAGACTCCTCTGTCGGTGGGATTCTCCAGGCAGGAATACTGGAGTGGGTAGCCATTCCCTTCTCCGGGGCATCTTCCCGACCGAGGGGTCTCCCACTTTGCAGGCAGATCCCCTGCCGTCTGAGCCACCAGGGAGACCCCAGACTGTGCCCTGCTTACCTTTCAGCCCCGCAACCAGCCAGAGCCGCCCCGTCACCCAGAGTCCTTCAGGTCCAGCCGAAGGACTGGAAGCTGCCTCCTTCGGGAGCTCGGGGGCGGGCCTGGCCACAGAGCATGGATGAGCGCCTGGTCGCGTGTGCTGTGAGCGCCGTGTGATGAGCGCCGGGTCGCGTGTGCTGTGAGCGCCGTGTGCTGAGCGCCGCGTGCTGAGCGACGGGTTGCGTGTACTGTGAGCGCCGTGTGCTGAGCGCCGGCTCACTCCTGCCTGACTCCAGTGTCTTTGCCTTTCTGCAGAGGTGACCCCCGTGTGTTGAGCGCCGGGTGATGAGCGCCGGCTCACTCCTGCCTGACTCCAGTGTCTTTGCCTTTCTGCAGAGGTGACCCGGTACTACCTGTTCAAGCTGCAGATGATCAGGGGGCCCCAAAGGGGAAGCAGGCAGGTGGGGGCTCCTGGGAGTACCTCACGCGGGGCTGCGGTCTCTCCCGGCACAGGCCCTGACCGTCTTCCAGCGCTCGCTGACCGCCATGCAGATCCAGGTAGCGGGACTCCTGCAGTTTGCCTCGCCCCGCTTCCCCACCGCAGAGGTGAGGCGGCCAGCCCTGCCCTCGGGGCCCCGGCTGGGGAAAGAAAGCGTGTCCCCTCCCTGTGCAGTCTAGCAGCTTCCTGTGGCTTTAAAGGCCTCTCTGCCGAAGCTGCCGTCTGCGGTTTTATCCACAAGCCCTCCCCGCCTTGCTCACTCTTCCTCTCGGTCTGTCCGCATGTCTGCCTATTCCTGCTTCAGAAAGATCTGCTTGGAATCCAGCTCCTGCTGAATTCATCCGAGTCCAGCCTCCACCAGCTGACCGCCTTGTTGGACTGCCGGGGGCTGCACAAGGTGCGGGGTGGCCCTGGGGGGCAGGCGGAGGGCAGGGAGGGGGCACCCCAGCAGGCCACATCATCCCAGGGAGAAGCCAGCAGAGGCTGGGAGAGCGATTGCCTGACTCGGGGAATGGGGTGGAAGAGTGCCTGGCTTCTAGATTCTCTCCAGTAGCTGAGACGGGGAGATGCAGAGAAAGGTACCAGGGGGGTGGGGTATGGAGAGCTGGATCTGTTTCGGGGCACCCTGAGCTATGTTTCGGGGCACCCTGAGCTATATGAGGAAGGCTGTTCCCTAGTGCCCAGACCCCCACAGCCATCTGGTCAACCCATCTAGTTCCTGAGTTGCAAGTGGACACCCGGCTCTCATTGCCAGGGTCATCTCTAGGAATCTGCAATGTTTGACATCCATGCAGGGAACACGCTGGGTACATATGAGCCCCTCCTCTCCTCCAAAGCAGGAAACCGGTGTATATTGACAAGCTCTCACATCCCACATGGATTTCAAGCGAATAGTCATGATAATGATCACGGCTGCAAGTTACTGAGTCCCTGTGTTCCACCTTGTTCTGTGCGCTGTGTATCCGATATATCGTTTAGTCCTCACTGTTAAACTGTGAAATACATATTTCATGAAAAATGTTATAAATAGCAATCTGTCTGTGAATATAGATGGATGGATGGATAGATAGACAGATGTATCTATCTTTTTATCTATCAAGCAGCTTAACGAAGATTCCAGAGCTATCGAGTCAAGGACTTGGGTTTCCAATCCCGGCAGCCTGACTTGAGAGCTGAGAACGGGGTGACCCTGGTACCCTTCCTTCCTCCCCAGCCTCCACACGCCATCCCTCAGCGAGTGCCCGCAGCTGTACCCTCGGATCTACCCTGCCCCATCCTCTTCTGTCCCCCCACAGCCCCCACTTTGGTCCAAGCACCACCTGCTCCCCTGGGTGACAGCTGTGGCCCCCTAACTAGTCCCCACTTTCTCCCACCCGCTTCCCTTTCATGTACAGCAGCCAGAGCAGCCTTCTGAAAACCAAATTGGATCACAGCCTTCCGTCCCCAAACCCGCCAGTGTCTTCCCGTCACCTTGCGTTACATCCAGGCTCCTCCTTGCCTGCCCCACGAGGTCCAGCATGAGCTGGCACCGCCGCCTCGCGTGTCCTCGGCTGACCTCTCCCCCCCTCCTGAACACACCAAGCCTGGCCCCTTTGCCTCAGAGGCTGCAGGCTCGCTCGGCTTCCCTGCTCTCCTTGCCCCAGATTAGATGCCCTCTGCCCTCTGGCTCCCCCACCCGCAAGCTCGGCATCTGTCCTGTTCCGAGTCCAGCACACACACAGTCGGTATTTTCAGTAAACGCGTGGAGAGAATCCAAGAAGTGCCCCGCCGTGTCGGGGTCGCGAACGTGGGCCCGTCGTGAATGAACACTGTGCCTGGGATGGGGAGGGGAGGCGATCCCAGGCTCGGGCTGGGAGAGAGGGGCTTCCAGAGGCCAGCTGGGACCCCAGGCAGTGCCCCACTCCCCCTGCAGCTGCGTGTCCCTCTTCCTCCTCCAGGACTACCTGGACGCCCTCGCCGGCGTCTGCTACGACGGCCTCGAGGGCCTGCTCTACCTCGGCCTCTTCTCCCTCCTGGCTGCGCTGGCCTTTTCCATCATGACCTGCCTGGGGCCGGGGGCGTGGAAGCACTGTGCCAGGAGGTGGGCTTCCTGGGGGAGGAGGCGGGAGGCTCTGCTCTCTGGCGGAGCTGAGAACTGATAACCTGGGGTAGAGAGGGGCAGTCGGGGACTGGCATTCAGCCCCAACAGGCTTGCTGGATTTCTGCTGCAGCATCCCTGAAAGTCCAGACAGGACCCCAGAAGGAGGTTGGAGGGGGCTAGAGCAGGGCCAAGGATGATGATGGCATCATGCCACAGCCTGGCCTCCTTAGCTTGTCCCCGCTTCCTCTGCACGACTTTGTGGGGTGATGCTGCTGCTGAGAGGGGTGCCCCCAGAACACTGGAAGGAACAGACTGTAGCCCTGTTCCCAGGGCACCTGTAGTCTCATGGAGGAGGCAGAGACGAGATGGCATTTCAGTATCTCGAGAGTAATCAGAAAAGGAAGCAGGGTATGGAGGGTTATTGTGCAGGTGGTCAGCAGGGTGGCCTGCCTGGAGGAGGTGGGTGTGCAGTTGGGACCGGAGCAGAGTAATATGTATCAGGCGGGGCTGAAGACCACGTTTCCAGAGAACCTCAAGGAGACACCTGCGGCCAGCGGGGGCCGACCTGGGAGGAAAGATGGGAAAGTGGGCCGGGCCCCCGCTGCCTGGTGTCAGCCCCCTCACCCCTCACGGCCGTATCCTGCGTGTCATCCTAGGGACAGGGACTATGACGACATCGACGACGACGACCCCTTCAACCCCCAGGCCCGGCGCATCGCCGCCCACAGCCCGTCTCGGGGGCAGCTTCGCAGCTTCTGCAGCTACAGCAGCGGCCTGGGCAGCCAGGGCAGCCTGCACCCCACCCAGACCGTCTCCAACGCCCCCGTCTCGGAGTACATGTACGGCAGGACTCCCCCAACACGCCGGGCCGGGGCAGCGTTGCTTTTCCTGGCCTTCAGGGCGCTGGATCTGCGGGCGGGGGCATGCTTGGGTCCAGGGTGCCAGGGCGGGGGAGGAAGGCGTCCTAGGCCAGCGGGGCCCCTGGCTGCAGTCGGGATGCCTGAGTGTGGCCCCCCACCCAGAGCATCTCCTGCTGGAGGAAGAACCACTGCAGGTGTCAGGTCCTTTTCCTCCAGCCTGCAGGGCAGGTCGAAGGCCCGAGAAGCTGCGTTTCCCCTGGCCCATCACCTGCTCCCTGCACCTCCCTCCCCTCTGTCTGTGGTCCACTTCCATATCCCGTATGCACACCCCCGGGACCCTCCTGCAGAAGTCCAGGCACACACCTGTGTCCCCCCCGCCGAGCGCTCCTCACCCCTCTCGACCCCGCAGGAACCAAGCCGCGCTGTTTGGTGGGAGCCCACGCTACGAGAATGTGCCGCTCATCGGAAGAGGGTCCCCGCCGCCCACGGTAAGCTGGGCTCCCCAGGCAAACGCACAAACCCTGCTCGGGAGGGGGGTGCAGTTAAAGAGAAAACCTCCTGGGGACCCATTGAATCCCTCCCACAGAAGTAGAAAAGAACAAAACAGTTTTGTTATTGGATAAGCATTAATCCAGATGGCCAGGACGTCCCTGGAGGTCCAGCGGTTAAGACTGAGCTCCCATTGCAGAGGGTGCAGGTTCGATCCCTGGTGGGGGAACAAGATCCTGATGCCGCGTGGTGCAGCCGAAAAAGAAACAGAAAGCAAACAAAACTCAGCCTGGCATTTATAAGAAAGAAGGGAGTCTGAGATGAGGTTGGACGTCTGTATTCTTGAGCCAGGTGTCTGTCGGGGAAGGCGCCGTCGCCTTCACTGGGCTGGGCGAGGCGTTTCACCCACCCCATCCCGGTAGTTTGGAAGAAGCCATTCAAATGATGAACCTAGAGCCCTGGCGCCCCAAGGACACGAGACCCAGGACGTAGACTTGGCTTTGTAAACCAGCTCAGGGCATCCAATGAGTGCTCTTAGTGAAAAGCACAGTGCTAGACCAGGGAAAGAGAGCCGGGGACCCAGCCCGTCTTCAGGAAACGGGGTAATCCACAGGGGGGTGACTCAGAAAGCTGCTGTAATAAGTGCCGTATGGTGCGATGGCCCCTAGAGGGGGGAACTGTTCTTCGGGGTCTGAGAAGGTGACCTTTCCACCTTACCGTGGAGCACGGGGTCTCCCCCAGGGACACTCGAGTTTGTTACCCCAGAGGATGTCTGGCCACATCTCAAGGCATCTTTGGGCTTCCCCCATGCCTCAGGTGGCAAAGATCCCTCCTGCCAAGGCAGGAGACATCAGAGACCCAGGTTCGATCCCTGGGTGGGGAAGATCCCCTGGAGAAAGAAATGGCAACCCACTCCAGTATTCTTGCCTGGAGAACCCCACGGACAGAGGAGCCTGGTGGGCTACAGTCTATGGGGTCCCAAAGATTCAGACCCGACTGAGCAGCTGACATTTTCACTTTACACTTAAAGGCATCTTTGATCGTCACACCTGGCGGGGGGTGCTGGCTGCTCTCAGCCTCTAGCGGGTGGAGGCCAGGGGCGCTACTGGGCACAGGCCAGCCCCCCGCATGCAGGACAATCGGCCTCAGGTGTCCGCAGCGTCCTGCTCAAGCCGACCCTCCGGCTCTCCATGCCCGGCCCCGCCTTGCTGCTGTTTTGCCCAGACCGCCCTCGACCCAGGCCTTGCTCTCGCTCCTGGGGGCCCCAGGCAGGGACAGCGGCCCGTCCAGGCCTACTTCCAGAGTTGGCACCTTTGAAATCCCAAGCTGGCTTCTCTGTAAACCAGAAGAAGCCTCTCAGTTTCCTGCTTCCTCCCGCCAGCTGTTGTGGCCCCAAGAATGCAGGTTGATTTTCATATTAATCTCAGTACAACATAATTAGGAGAAATCTGATGCTGTGACACATGAATTACTCAAGGCCCTGGAATGCCAACAGTAAATGAATTTCCGATTGCCTTCTGTTTTGAAAGATCCAGGCCACTCTCCATGCCTTCAGCAGAGATAATCAGAAAACTGACCTTATTTGCAAGGCTCGAGGGCAGAATAAACCTTCCCCCAGGAAAGACTGAAGGCAAAAGAAGAGGCAGAGGATGAGATGGTTAGATAGCATCACCAGCTCAATGGATGTGAATTTGAGCAAAGTCCAGGAGATGGTGAAGTCTAGGGAGCCTGGCATGCTGCAATCCACAGGGTCAAAACAAGTGGGACACGACTTAACAACTGAAGAACAACTAAAAGTGCCTCTAGGTGTCCCTGGAAGGGCAAAATTGAGACCCAGTCAATTTTAAGGGGTAAAGGAGTCTCAGACCCCCACCCCTCACCCAGCTGGAAGCCTTTGTCCGGCTCAGGTGTGAGTGGTTCGGACCTGAACCCCTGGGGCCAGAGGACAGTCAGGGTCCTGTGGATCATTGCTCCTGAGTCAGAAGACCAACAGCACCTGGAGCTTGTGGGACATGCAGACTCTCAGGTCGTACATTTGATGGGAGATGCGATAATATAAGAGGCCATATCCTTAACTTCCGAGCAATAGCTGGCTAACATCTGCTGCAGACACTCAAACTTTGTGTTTCTCTGACTTGGCTGCACTGGGAAGAACTTATTATAAAAATATTAGAGGCGGCACTTTGAAACAGCTTATTTATTTATTTATTCACTTATGGCCACCCTGGGTCTGCAGTGCTGCCTGCAGACTCCTCTGGTTGCATTGGCGGGGCGGGGGCGGGGGGGCTCCTCTTTGTTGCAGTGTGTGGGCCTCTCATTGCGGGCGCTTCTCTTAATGTGGAGCACCGTCCCTAGGGCCAGAGGCTTAGTTGCCTTGTGGCATGTGGGATCTTCCCAGACCAGGGATCAAACCCCTGTTCCCTGCATTGGCTGGTGCATTCTTAACCACTGGACCCCCAGGGAAGTCCCAAAAGGCTTAATTTTATGTGTATTCTATGTCATAAAAAAGTACTGGTGGGTGCGGCCTGGGTATCGGGATGTTTTCAGAACCCTCCCCAGCCCCACCCTGCAGTGTCTCTAATGCACAGCCAGGTTTGAGAAGCCCTGGGTTAGGGACCTTTCTGCTTTATATTAGTCCACCCTTTCAATGTTAGAACTGAGTCCTCTTAGGTCCATTGTGCAGGTGGGGAGACTGAGGCTGGAGCAATTGGAGAACCTCCTCCAAGGTCATAGGATGAGTAAGGTGCACGGCTGGGATTTGAACCTGGCTCTCGGAGTCAGTGGGCCTGTGCCGTCAGCCTGCTCTCTTGGCAGACTCCTTAGCGCACGGGTGCATTAGGGAGGCTGGTCGGGTGTGCACCGTGAGCTTGGGAAGCAGATGTCCCGATGGCCCCAGGGTTGGAAGCTTCAGCAGACATGAAGCCTGCCCAGGCCACCCCCACTGTCCTCCAGTAACCCCCACGAGGCCTTGACGTTGAGACTCAGCGCCCAGCTGCCGTGCTGGCGCTTCTGCGAGCACGGAGTCCTGTGTGACGGGCGACGTGTGAGCCTGTCCTGACCGCCCCCTCCCCTCTCTCCCACAGTACTCGCCCAGCATGCGGGCCACCTACCTGTCCGTGGCGGACGAACACCTGCGGCACTACGGGAACGAGTTTCCAGCCTAACACACTTTCGGAGTTCCTGCCTCCTTGCTCCGTTTTGGTTTTTAACTAAGGCAAATGCAAGTGTGTTTCTTTAACAGAAACCAAAGGCATATAGAGACTGCAGGATCAGAAGGCTCCGGCTGGCGCCAGGGAGCAACTGAAGATTCGGGGAGAGTCAGCCTGGGGTTGGCTGACATTCCCGGGCAGACAGAAGCCCCATGAACTGGACCATCCCTCTCCCTCCGCTGACTCCCTCTCCACACCGGAAACGTCCCCAGGTGCTTGGCCGTCCCTAAGCTAGGAGCCTGGTTCAGTTCACCCCTGAGTCCCCGCCTCGCCAGGTGGGGAAGGGCAGTGACAAGGGGCTGGATCAGGCTTGAGGGTCCCCTTGCCAGGACTCTGCCTCCTGCAGGCACAACCGGAAACCCAGGTAGCCATTCTCGGGGTCACCTCTCCTCCTGGCTGCTCAGATGGGTACCATTTACCCACAGGTAAAGGCAGATGGGCTGATCAGGAGATGCTTTTTAAGGTGACATCCCTGATGAGACCAGACACTGTCCAACTCAGCCTTCCAGGGCCAGGTAGACTCTTCCTAGGCCACGGAGGGAAGGTCTTGGCAGGTTCTGCCTATGAGGCCAGGAGCTCCAGGGCCTTGCAGCCTGGTGGGGTTCCAGGTAGCCGTGATGGACCTCTCTTCTCTGCAACCTTCGGTCACCTCACCTCCATTCCAGAATCTCCACTGTGAGTTTGCTCATGGCAGTAGGGGCGGTCTCAGGTATTCACAGACACTTTGAAAAAGTGACTCTCTTTCTTGCCAGTGTTCTAAAGATTCTTGATTGTCCAAAGAATTGAAACTCACCCCACAAGCCAGTTTTTACAGCAGATGTGGGGCTGATCCTTCCCACCTGATTTGTCAACCAAAACAGAGGTCAGTGAGACACCCTGTCCCCAGATGCTGGTTGGTGGGGATGTGTGTTCATCCCACCTGGACGGACGCATCTTGAGAGAATAAAGTCTCTAGGAGGGAAGTCTGAACGTGAACAGAGTCTGGTCCCGGAGACCAGCTGCACGGCCACATAAACTCTCCCTGCTTCTGTCTCCAAGTTGGTCCTAAAGCTTTTAGCAAAGTGATGTCCTGATGTACAGACGGGCATCTTCCCTACCTCTTCCTCCATCCTGTCCCTGCCCCTGACCAGTACCTGCTGGGTGAGGAGGAGCCTGGGGACCAGGAGGAAGTAATGACCCACCACCCTCTCCGCTGAGGAGCCAGCATTAGCATCTTTGGTGCTTCCAACCTCCTGCCCGGCCAGAGTGCACGGCCCGGGAGTCCCACAGCCTCCCACACCGAAGCAGGGGCGTGGGGTAGCATGGCTGTGAACCGGGGCACCGCTTCTGGCCAGAACAGAACAGCAGAGTGGTTCTCAGGCTCCAGCCAAGCCTCCCCAACCGCGGGACCACTGGGCCGCCAGGACTGTCTCCCCCATCCCCCTGTACATACATGGACCATGACCGCACCCTGGTGAGGCCGTGTCGCGTGCAGACAGGACTCTGCTGCGTCGAGGTGGTGCTTCTTAACGTTCCTCGTTGGCCACTAGAGTTGTTTTTAATGCATGTAAACTAAACTAGAATCCCCTGCGTGGTTCCTGGAGGAGCCAGGTGGGCACACCTCTGCTTAATACAGGTGCGCCCTCACCTGGGGAAGAAATAAACCACTGGTACTAAAATGCACGCTGTGTCCAACTTCCTCGGCTTCGGGAATGATGAAGGTAGCTGATGGCACCTACTAGCTGGGTTATACTCGAGGTGGGGTTCAGAGTGGGTTTCAGTGTTGAGGATTTAAAGACAGGGCTGTTGGAAAAAAACAGAAAAATAGAGACAGGGCCTCACCTTGCTGCTCGTCAAGATCAAAATCAGGCCTCCTTTCTGCCCGAGTCTCCAAAGCTCCTCTTGGAGGTGATTGCTTCTAGGGTTGCTGATCACAAGCGGCATTTATTGAGTAACCTCCAAAGTGCCAGGAACTGTCCCAAGTCGTTTTGTAAATAAAAAAAGCCAGAGGTGTAAAGAGAAAGGACTTAGTTGGAGCACGTGTCAAAGTCAGGAGTGTAACCCATGACCCAGGTGGGCACCTCTGGGGTAATGATACGGGCCTGGGCCGGGGTCACAGGGCCGGCCACCTCTCTCAGCCTGGCGGCAGGTCCTCGCTGCCTCCTCTTCCGAAACTCTCCACCCCCACGGGTTTCCTGTCTGCGCCCGGGCTCCCGAGACACACGGAGCCCTTCAGTCCTTCCTTGCAGCATCTCGTGTGTCTGAGCCAGCCTGGGAGGGCTTGGCAGGCTGACGCCTGAGGCTGTCATTCACACTGATTCTGGAGCAGCTGCCGGAGTGGACCCTAGTGCGCCATCGTGGGAACAAGGGATGGTACAGCTGCTTTGGATAACAGTATGGAGGTTCTTCCAAAAAATTAAAAATTAATAAATTCTATTAAGTAAATAGAATTGCCATATGATCCAGCAATTCCACTTCCCAAAAGAATTGAAATAATGGTCTCAATATTTGTACCCCCATGTTTATAGCACCGTTAGTTACAATAGGAAAAAGTGGAAGCAACTGTAGTGTCCATTAATAGATGAATGGGTAAGTAAAATGTGCTTTGTCCCCAATGGAATATTACGCAGTCTTAAAAAGGGAGGAGGGCCCAACACCTGCAACATGAATGAACCTAGAAAACATTCTGCCAAGTGAAATAAGTCAGTTACCAAAAAAACAAACAAACAAACAAACAAACCCTGATTCCACTTCTGCTGCTCGTCACTTCAGTCATCTTTCTCTCTGTGACCTCATGGGCTGCAGTCCGCCAGGCTCCTCAGTCCATGGGATCCTCCAGGCAAGACTACTGGAGTGGGTTACCATGCCCTCCTCCAGGGGGTCTTCCCAACCCAGGGACTGAACCAGCATCTCTTACGTCTCCTGCGTTGGCAGGTGGGTTCTTTACCACTAGCACTCCCTGGGAAGCCCCATGATTCCACTTCTACAAGGTACTTAAAGTACTCGGAATCATAGAGACAGAAAGTAGAATTGTGCCTGCTAAGAATTCGGGGAGCGGGGAGTGGGGCCTTACTGTTTAACCGGAATAGAGTTTCAGATTTGCAAAATGAAAAGAGCTCTGGAGATAGATGGTGGTGATGGTTGTGTAACAGTATGAAGGTTCTTAGCACCACTGAACTGAGCAGTTAAAAATGGTTAAGGTGGTGGATTTTATGTGTACTTTATCACGATGACAATGGATAAAGAGGCTGGCGGGACAACATTGCAATGGACTGTTCACTGGCCTTGGGGATGTCCAGGGCTAGGGGCTGCTCTCAGTAGAGAGCTTCAGTTGCGGGGGCTTCACTGGTGGTCCAGTGGTTAAGAGTCCGAGCTCCCAATGCAGGGGGCCGGTGTTCGATCCCAGGTCAGGGAACTAGATCCCACACGCTGCAACTGAAGATCCCACCTGCCACAATAAGGATGCAGCACACCCAAATAAATAAGAATCTGGATGGTGATTAGTCACTGGGTCATTTAACAACAAAAATAAAAAGCTGCCAGGTCTGTTGTGATTGAGTGGAGCTCTGGAAGACGCTGCAGTTTTTAAAAATTGGACCCTTGTGCTTACTTCTAATTACATGCTCTATTGCTGGCTTCCCAGGGTGACAGACGGGCCCGCCCATGGGTGCTGCCTGTTTTTCCAGTGAGCGGTGCTGCCCGCTGGCGGTTGGCAGCAAGCAGGCTTTCTGAGTGAGGGTGGGTGAGAAGCCTGTAATAAGTCATTGCAATGATACAGGAAGGAAGGCTGCAGTTTTCCTCTCGACTTTTCTACTTCTCTCCACCCACTCCCCCTCACCTCCCTGCGTGCAGGGAGCCTCAGCATCCCAGAGTGGGGGGAGCGGTGAGGAAGGCATCTGCGATCAACACCCAAATAAATAAGAATCTGGATGGTGATTAGTCACTGGGTCATTTAACAACAAAAATAAAAAGCTGCCAGGTCTGTTGTGATTGAGTGGAGATCTGGAAGACGCTGCAGTTTTTTAAAATTGGACCCTTGTGCTTACTTCTAATTACATGCTCTATTGCTGGCTTCCCAGGGTGACTGAGACGGGCCCGCCCATGGGTGCTGCCTGTTTTTCCAGTGAGCGGAGCTGCCCGCTGGCGGTTGGCAGCAAGCAGGCTTTCTGAGTGAGGGTGGGTGAGAAGCCTGTAAAAAGTCATTGCAATGATACAGGAAGGAAGGCTGCAGTTTTCCTCTCGACTTTTCTACTCTCCACCCACTCCCCCTCACCTCCCTTCGTGCAGGGAGGCTCAGCATCCCAGAGTGGGGGGAGCGGTGAGGAGGGCATCTGCGATTGCAGCCCCAGCCAGCCAGTGCCCCAGGGTGGAGCCAGTCCACTTCTCCCGGACGCTTTGTGTCTGAGTTGCCCCCGACCAACTGATGGCAGGGGCAGCTGATGGCAACGGTCACTATGGGCTTGCCATTGGTTGGTGCAGTTGGGCAAAGCGCCATCTCAAGGGGAAATCTGTTGCACAGGCCAGGTAGTGGTGAAACACATTTATGGAGAAGTTGGGGAGCCTGAGGGAGGGATGTTTGCTTTCCACTGTCCTTTCACAGAATCCCCAGAAGCTTGCCAGGAGCCTACACTGCCTCTCAGATCCCCAGATGACTTCTGTAAACTCCTCTCTCACCGGCCCCCAGCAGGGACCTCCCAAAACGCCTTTATTCCATGACAACTGCCTCTCCCTGGCTCACATTGCTGCCCTCCCCTTCGATCTGGAATCGTCTCCCCTCTCCTTCCCCCCCCCCGCAGCTCATAACCATTTGTCAAGGCTCCATCCATTCCAACCCCAAATCCCACTTCTTGGATGACACATGGTCCGCCCAGGTCCAGATCTCCAACAGCCGTCTCTGAACTCAGGTTAGATCCCTGGCCATGGGAGGCACAGAGCTGGCCTCCAGTGCAGGTTCTGCGGTCAGCTCCGGCCTGGGCACACCGCCACGTCAGCTTAGCTGGTCTTCCCAGTTATCCTGAGCACTGCGACCGCCCCTCCACTGGCCAATGAGGATTGTTGATCAGACAGTAAAGAATCCACCTGTAATGCAGGAGACCCTGGGTCAGGAAGATCCCCTGGAGAAGGGAATGGCTACCCACTCCACTATTGTTGCCTGGAGAATCCCAAGGACAGAGGAGCCTGGCGGGCTAGTGTACATGGGGTCGCAGAGTCAGAGACGACTAAGCAACTAAGTGGGGCTTCTCTGGTGACACCCAGTAAAGACTAGGCCTGCAATGCAGATGACTTGGGTTCCATCCCTGAGTCAGGAAGATCCCCAGGTCCTCCGAGGCATGGCATGTACTTCTAGGCATGGCAACCCACCCCAATATTCTTGCTTGGAGAATTCCACGGACAGAGGAGACTGGCGGGCTACAGTCCATGGGATCACAAAGAGTCGGGCACGACCAAGCGACTAACACACACACACAAGTGACTAGGCACGAGTCAGGAAAGGCAAACAACTTGCCCAACGTCACTCGGTTAGTGAACAATCAAGTGAGTGAGTGAAAGTCGCTCAGCTGTGTCCGACTCTTTGCGACACCATGGACTCCCCACCAGACTCCTCTGTCCGTGGAATTTTCCAGGCAAGAATACTGGAGTGGTTTGCCATTCCCTTCTCCAGGGGATCTTCCTGTCTCGGGGATCGAACCCAAGTCTCCTTCACTGTAGGCAGATTCTTTACCATCTGAACCACCTGGCTGGGATTCAGACCCATGTTTTCTAGCCCCACATCCGGTTCTTTTAGTTTGCATTATTTCACCTTATTGTCTTAACTAATGAGAAATTTCATTTTATTCATTCATTCACCAGCAACCAAGAGCTAAGAGCGGAAACACCCAGCCCCTACCCTATAGGAGTTTCCTTCCTGACGGAGTGGTTCAGACTTAAGCTTACTATTCAGTGTGCAGGGGCTTTGGTAACAGAGAGGAAGCTGGGGGTTATAGTTCCCATTAAGCAGACAAGGAAACTGAAGGAAGGAGTGGAATTGACCTTCTGGATCGTGAATAAATCAATAACAGAGCCTCACCCAGGGCTCAGGACTCCTAGGCTCACTGAGTACATTTTGCATTTTCTGAGAATCTTGCCAAATGCATACTTGTGGACTTGGATAAGCGCCTTGGCCAAGATCCTACATACGTTTATCGTTACCGGTGCTTGACTAATTTAGGAGGGACCAGAGACGCTTCCAACATGGCTTAATGGGTCACGTGCTCCAGGTTTCCTTCCTTCCGCGCTGCCCCGCGTCGTGAGCGCCCCCCCCCCGCCCACCGCCCCGCCCCGGCCAGGGTTGCTAGGCAACGAGTAAACTCAGGAGCCGTTTGAGAAGCTCTGGAGTCAGCTCCGAGACTCGGGGCTTCCCCAGCGGCAGCAGGAACCGACCGAGGTTAAGGGGCGGACGCGGGGAAGATGTCCGCGGCTGAAGAGAAGACTGGAGAGTGAAAGGGAGCCCCAGAGGGTGAGAAACACCGCTAGTGCAAGAAACTCCTCGTGGGGCGTCCTTCCGGGCTAGCAATGCCGGATGATGGACCCCGGGGACCAGCGCTCCTAGGGTCCCCCGCCCATCAGTCCTCGCTGCCCTCGATGTTCCCGGAGTCCCAGGACCCAGCAAGTTCCAGACACCCTGCCTCCTACACCCCTTGCGG